TCCCACTGACACCAATGATGGGGCACTTTTCCTCCCCCGAACACAGAATACTATTCCTCCCACTGACACCAATGATGGGGCACTATTCCTCCCGCTGATACCAAGGATGGGGCACTATTCCTCTCACTGACACCATTGATGGGGCGCTATTCCTCCCACTGACACCAATGATGGGGCGCTTTTCCTCCCACTGACACCAATGATGGGGCACTATTACTCCCACTGACAACAATGATGGGACACTATTCCTCCCACTGATACCAATGATGGGCACTATTCCTCCCACTGACACCAATGATGGGGCGCTATTCCTCCCACTGACACCAATGGTGGGGCGCTTTTCCTCCCACTGATACCAAGGATGGGGCACTATTCCTCCCACTGACACCAATGATGGGGCACTATTCCTCCCACTGACAACAACGATGGGGCACTATTCCTCCTACTGACATCAATGATGGGGCACTATTCCTCCCACTGACACCAACAATGGGGCAATATTCCTCTCACTGACACCAATGATGGGGCACTATTCCTTCCACTGACACCAACAATGGGGCACTATTCCTTCCACTGACACCAACGATGGGGCAATATTCCTCTCACTGACACCAATGATGGGGCACTATTCCTCCCACTGACACCAATGATGGGGCACTATTTCTCCCACTGACACCAATGATGGGGCACTATTCCTCCCACTGACACCAATGATGGGGCATTATTCCTCCCACTGACACCAACAATGGGGCAATATTCCTCTCACTGACACCAATGATGGGGCACTATTCCTTCCACTGACACCAACAATGGGGCCCTTTTCCTCCACTGACACCAATGATGGGACACTATTCCTCCCCTGACACCAACAATGGGGCCCTTTTTTTCCACTGACACCAATGATGGGGCACTATTTCCTCCCACTGACACCAACAATGGGGCACTTTTCTTCCCACTGACAACGATGGAACCATTTTTTTACAATGACACCAACAATGTGGCTGTATTCCTCTCTCTAACACCAAAGATGCTTTGTTAACACACACTGACGCCAGATCAATTTCTACTCCCAATGGCCCCAGTCTGGCCCCTCTAAAGTCTGTAGGCCAGTAAACTGACTCTTTGTTCGGAGAGTTCGGAGACCCCGGCCGTAAACCAAAGTCTACATTTATTTTCTGTGATTGTCAGCTCCATCTAGTGACCATATTGTGTTATTTTTCCTAAAAGGCCTGAATCAGGAAAACATTGCATCATGGCCAGAAGATGGAGCAAATTACAGGGAACCATTTGTGATTTGTTTGTTTTTTTATAACTTGACCCTCATATCCTGGTGGGTGATTGTTCAACCAACACAACAGAGGAGATGCCCCTGTGGACTTCTGTATTCTTCATATTGATACGTGATTGCCTGAGTTCTGCTTTATTTCTGTCACTTTGTACAATCAGTGTGGAAACATTTCACATTTACAGTGCAGGAAATGTGTATTTGCTCCCCCCTGATGGTGAATGTTCGCCCCTCACACAGAAATGATCGGTCTAACAATGGAATGTTCGCCCCTCACACAGAAATGATCGGTCTAACAATGGAATGTTCGCCCCTCACACAGAAAAATCGGTTAACAATGGAATGTCTAAACAATGGAATGTTCGCCCCTCACACGAGCCCCTTAGAAACGATCGGTCTAACAAATGGAATGTTCGCCTTTCACACAGAAATGATCGGTCTAAACAATGGAATGTTCGCCCCTCACACAGAAATGATCGGTCTAACAATGGAATGTTCACCCCTCACACAGAAATGATCGGTCTAACAATGGAATGTTCGCCCCTCACACAGAAATGATCGGTCTAACAATGGAATGTTCGCCCCTCACACAGAAACGATCGGTTCTAACAATGGAATGTTCGGTGTAACACTGAGAGACAGAATACAACAACAAATTCAGCAGAAATGCGTCTAACAAATGATGACGGATCTGCATGTTCATGAGGGAAAGAAGGATTTGATCCCCTTCACAAAACATGACTTAGTACTTGGTGGCCAATCCCTTGTTGGCAATCACAGAGGTCAGACGTTTCCTGGAGTTGGCCCCCAGGTTCGCACACATCTCAGGAGGGATTTTGGCCCACTCCTCTTGGCAGATCCTCTCCAAGTCATTAAGGTTTGGTGGCTGATGTTTGGCAACTCGAACTTTCAGCTCCTCCACAGATTTTCAATCGGATGAAGGTCTGGAGACTGGCTAGGCCACTCCAGGACCTTAATGTGCTTCTTCTTGAGCCGCTCCTTTGTTGCCTTGGCCATGTGTTTTGGGTCATTGTCATGCTGGAACACCCATCCACCACCCATTTCAATGCCCTGGCTGAGGGAAGAAGGTCCTCACCCAAGATTTGAGGGTACATTGCCCCGTCCATCATCCCTTTGATGCGGTGCAGTTGTCCTGTCCCCTTAGCAGAAACCCCCCCCCCAAAGCAGAATGTTTCCACCACCATGTTTCACAGTTGGGATGGTGTTCTTGGGGTCATAGGCAGCATTCCTCCTCCTACAAACATGGCGAGTTGAGTTGATGCAAAAGAGCTGGATTTTGGTCTCCTCTGACCACAACACTTCCCACCAGTCCTCCTCGGCATCATTCAGATGTTCAGTGGCAGACTTCAGACGGGCCTGGACATGGGCTTTCTTGAGCAGAGGGACCGTGCGGGCACTGCAGGATTTCAGTCCTTGTCGGCGTAGTGTGTTACCAATTGTTTTCTTGGTGACTGCGGTCCCAGCTGCCTGGAGATCATTGACAAGATCCTCACGTGTAGTTCTGGGATGATCCCTCACTGTTCTCATGATCATTGACACTCCACGAGGTGAGATCTTGCATGGTGCACCAGACCTAGGGAGACTGACACTTGTTTTGTGTTTCTTCCATTTGTGAATGATTGCACCAACTGTTGTCACCTTCTCACCAAGCTGCTTGGCCATAGTTTGGTAGCCCAGTCCAGCCTTGTGTAGGTCTACCATCTTGTCCCTGACATCCTTGGACAGCTCTTTGGTCTTTGCCATGGTGGAGAGTTTGGAATCTGATGGTTTGATGGCTCCTGTGGACAGGTGTCTTTTATACAGGTAACACAATGAGATTAGCAGCACTCCCTTTAAGAGACTGCTTCTAATCTCAGCTTGTTACCTGTATGAGAGACACCTGGGAGCCAGAAATCCTGCTGAATGATAGGGATCAAATGAACATCCTTCTTTCCCTCATGAACATGCAGATCCATTGTTAGTCATCATTTGTTAGACGCATTTTCTGTGAGATTTGTTGTTGTATTCTGTCTCTCAGTGTTACAGGGGCGAACATTCCATTGTTAGACCGATCGTTTCTGTGTGAGGGGCGAACATTCCATTGTTAGACCGATCGTTTCTGTGTGAGGGGCGAACATTCCATTGTTAGACCGATCGTTTCTGTGTGAGGGGGCGAACATTCCATTGTTAGACCGTTCGTTTTTCTGTGTGAGGGGCGAACATTCCATTGTTAGACCGATCGTTTCTGTGTGAGGGGCGAACATTCCATTGTTAGACCGATCGTTTCTGTGTGAGGGGCGAACATTCCATTGTTAGACCGATCATTTCTGTGTGAGGGGCGAACATTCCATTGTTAGACTCGATCGTTTCTGTGTGAGAGGGCGAACATTCCATTGTTAGACCGATCATTTCTGTGTGAGGGGCGAACATTCCATTGTTAGACCGATCATCTCTTTGTGAGGGGCGAACATTCCATTGTTAGACCGATCGTTTCTGTGTGAGGGGCGAACATTCAGCATCAGGGGGGGGGCAAATACACATTTCCCGCACTGTACATCAAGCAGAATTGTGGAGCTCCGGGGAGATGTAACGGACACAATGGGGGGAGTGTAACGGACACAATGGGGGGAGATGTAACGGACACAATGGGGGGAGGTGTAACGGACACAATGGGGGGAGGTGTAACGGACACAATGGGGGGAGGTGTAACGGACACAATGGGGGGAGATGTAACGGACACAATGGGGGGAGGTGTACCGGACACAATGGGGGGAGGTGTAACGGACACAATGGGGGGAGTGTAACGGACACAATGGGGGGAGGTGTAACGGACACAATGGGGGGAGGTGTAACGGACACAATGGGGGGAGGTGTAACGGACACAATGGGGGGAGGTGTATAACGGACAGAATGGGGGGGATATAACGGACACAATGGACGCCGGTTTGCGTTCATCAAAAACATTTTATTTTAAGATGTATAATAAAAGGAGAAGGATAATAAGCGGCAATAAATCGTCTCGCCATTTCCGGACGCCGGTCCCTGAAGCGCCTTGCAGACATGTGAAGAGGATAGGAGCGGCCTGGAGAGGGCGGAGTCAATGCTTCAACTCCTGCAAAGGAAGATGAAGGTTACTTATAGCAGACCAATAGGAGGAGTCATTTGCAGCTGGCTCCTCCCCCTCCCACAATTATATTGAAAAAAAATGTTTTTTCTGAAGTGTTCCTGACTATTTTTGTGGCAAAGAAGGAGAATGACTTTGTGCTGCTGGTGCCTTCCACGCATGCGCAGACATGCCACGGGACTCCAGGACCCAGCAGAGACATGCAGCTCCGCCTCCCCCCCCCCCCCCCATGAAGACACCGCAGTCCTGCAGGTCCCGGATCTCAGGTTGCTGGGAATGTGCTGAGGTGGTGCAGGTCTTTGCCGCGTCCTGAAGCCTTGTGACGTGTCTGCCCACACTTTGGATTTTTAAAAGATGGCGGCATCAATGGGAGGAGGCAGGGCCAGCATTAGGATGACCGAAGTTCCTTTTGTCATCGGAAAATGCTACATATAAATGTATTACCTGATGTAAAGGGGGACTCTGATGGGGACCCTGATGTAAGGGGGACTCTGATGGGGGCCTGATGTAAGGGGGACTCTGATGGGGGCCTGATGTAAGGGGGACTCTGATGGGCACACCTGATGTAAGGGGGACTCTGATGGGGACACCTGATGTAAGGGGGCACTCTGATGGGGACACCTGATGTAAGGGGGCACTCTGCTGGGGACACTTGATGTAAGGGGGCATCTAATGGGGACACCTGATGTAAGGGGGGCACTCTGATGGGGACACCTGATGTAAGGGGGGCACTCTGATGGGGACACCTGATGTAAGGGGGACTTCTAATGGGGACACCTGATGTAAGGGGGACTCTGATGGGGACACCTGATGTAAGGGGGACTCTGGGGGACACCTGATGTAAGGGGACTCTGATGGGGACACCTGATGTAAGGGGGACTCTGATGGGGACACCTGATGTAAGGGGACTCTGATGGGGACACCTGATGTAAGGGGAATTCTGATGGGGACACCTGATGTAAGGGGGACTCTGATGGGGACACCTGATGTAAGGGGACTCTGATGGGGACACCTGATGTAAGGGGGCACTCTGATGGGGACACCTGATGTAAGGGGAATTCTAATGGGGACACCTGATGTAAGGGGACTTGATGTGGGGACACTGATGTAAGGGGGACTCTGATGGGGACACCTGATGTAAGGGGGACTCTGATGGGGACACCTGATGTAAGGGGGACTCTGATGGGGACACCTGATGTAAGGGGGCACTCTGATGGGGGCACCTGATGTAAGGGGACTCTGATGGGGACACCTGATGTAAGGGGGCACTCTGATGGGGACACCTGATGTAAGGGGGCACTCTGATGGGGGCACCTGATGTAAGGGGGCACTCTGATGGGGACACCTGATGTAAGGGGGCACTCTGATGGGGACACCTGATGTAACGGGGCACTCTGATGGGGGCACCTGATGTAAGGGGGCACTCTGATGGGGACACCTGATGTAAGGGGGCACTCTGATGGGGACACCTGATGTAAGGGGGCACTCTGATGGGGACACCTGATGTAAGGGGGCACTCTGATGGGGGCACCTGATGTAAGGGGGCACTCTGATGGGGACACCTGATGTAAGGGGGACTCTGATTAATTTTCTTAGTCTCCAATTTTTCTAAATATACAATGTGGTCCTCTCACTGAAAAAAGTCCTAAGGAAATCGCATCTTCCCTGGAACCTCTGACTTCCTGTTTGGCTATGAGACAGGAAGGGAAATCTCTGCCATTGGGACACAGATGGCCAAAATAACCTGACAGGGGTCCTAACACCCCCCCCCCCCCCCCAGCCCTGTGTTGCACAGTAAGGGATGTACGAAGGGTTCAGTAGTAGACAATGAAATATCACTATGAGGGGGAGGGGCAGAATTTCCCAATGTCCCCCCCCCCCCCCCATCCCCGGGAATGTCACACACAGAACCCGGATTACCTGTCCATCGGTGGTGTCATCAGTTTGCCGTGAAAATGATCCTGATCCCTGAGCAAGGCTGAGGAGAGGGAAGGGAAGACCGGGATTAGTGACCGACCTGTCAGAAGATGGCGGCAGATGACCCCACAGACAGGAGACACAGATATGATGTGCACAGCTATTCCTCCTGAGAAACTGCATGGACATTCGTTCTGAGAAACTGCATGGACATTCGTTCTGAGAAACTGCATGGACATTCGCTCTGAGCGAGTTCACCAGACATTCGTCCTGGGAAGGATGATATGATAATCCCATAGAATTATTACCATCGCCATTCACCAGATCTTCACCAGTCTATGAGATCATCATCATCAATCTATGGGATCATCATCATCAATCTATGGGATCATCATCATCATCAGTCTATGGGATCATCATCATCACCAGTCTATGGGATCATCATCATCATTCATCAGTCTATGGGATCATCATCATCATTATCATCATCAGTCTATGGGATCATCATCAGTCTATGGGATCATCATCATCACCAGTCTATGGGATCATCATCATCATCATCAGTCTATGGGATCATCATCATCATCATCAATCTATGGGATCATCATCATCACCAGTCTATGGGATCATCATCATCATTATCATCATCAGTCTATGGGATCATCATCAGTCTATGGGATCATCATCATCACCAGTCTATGGGATCATCATCATCATCATCACCAGTCTATGGGATCATCATCATCATCATCAATCTATGGGATCATCATCATCACCAGTCTATGGATCATCATCATCATCACCAGTCTATGGGATCATCATCATCATTATCATCATCAGTCTATGGGATCATCATCAGTCTATGGGATCATCATCATCACCAGTCTATGGGATCATCATCATCACCAGTCTATGGGATTATCATCATCACCAGTCTATGGGATCATCATCATCATCACCAGTCTATGGGATTATCATCATCATCACCAGTCTATGGGATTATCATCATCATCACCAGTCTATGGGATTATCATCATCATCATCATCATCATCATCACAGTCTATGGGATTATCATCACCGTCATCACCAGATCTATGGGAATCTATGGGATTCATCATCCTCATTAGTCTATGGGATCATCACCATCATCATCATCATCATCATCACCAGTCTATGGGATTATCATCATCATCACCAGTCTATGGGATTATCATCATCATTACCAGTCTATGGGATTATCATCATCATTACCAGTCCATGGAATCATCATCATCAATCTATGGGATTATAATCATAATCAACCTATGGGATTATCATCATCATTATCAACATCAATCTTCGGGATTATCATCATCATCATGTTCATAATCAATCTATGGGATCATCATCATCATCAGTCCATGGGATCATCATCATCACATCACCAGTCCATGGGATCATCATCATCATCACCACTCCATGGGATCATCATCATCATCACCAGTCCATGGGATCATCATCATCATCACCACTCCATGGGATCATCATCATCACACCAGTCTATGGGATCATCACTATCATCATCACCATCATCACCAGTCTATGGGATTATCATCATCTTCATCATCATTACCAGTCTATGGGATTATTGTCATTATCATCATCAATCTTTGGGATTATCATCATCATCATCATCATCAATCTACAGGATTATCATCATCGTTATCATCAATCTACAGGATTATCATCATCGTTATCATCAATCACAGGATTATCATCATCATCATTGGATTATCATCAATCTACAGGATTATCATCATCATCATCTTTTTAATCAATCTATGGGATTATCATCATCATCACCAGTCTATGGGATCATCATCATCATCAGTCTATGGGATCATCATCATCATCATCACCAGTCTATGGGATCATCATCATCATCATCACCAGTCTATGGGATCATCATCATCATCATCAGTCTATGGGATCATCATCATCATCACCAGTCTATGGGATTATCATCACACATCACCAGTCTATGGGATCATCATCATCATCACCAGTCTATGGGATCATCATCATCATCATACCAGTCTATGGGATTATCATCATCATCATCACCAGTCTATGGATCATCATCATCATCTATGGGATTATAATCATAATCAATCTATGGGATCATCATCATCATCATCATCAGTCCATGGGATCATCATCATCACCAGTCCATGGGATCATCATCATCACCAGTCCATGGGATCATCATCATCATCACCAGTCTATGGGATCATCATCATCATCACCACTCCATGGGATCATCATCATCATCACCACTCCATGGGATCATCATCATCATCACCAGTCTATGGGATCATCATCATCAGTCTATGGGATCATCACTATCATCATCACCATCATCACCAGTCTATGGGATTATCATCATCTTCATCATCATTACCAGTCTATGGGATTATTGTCATTATCATCATCAATCTTTGGGATTATCATCATCATCATCGTTATCATCAATCTACAGGATTATCATCATCGTTATCATCAATCTACAGGATTATCATCATCATCATTGTTATCATCAATCTACAGGATTATCATCATCATCATCATCTTTTTAATCAATCTATGGGATTATCATCATCATCACCAGTCTATGGGATCATCATCATCACCCAGTCTATGGGATCATCATCATCACCAGTCTATGGGATTATCATCATCATCACCAGTCTATGGGATCATCATCATCACCAGTCTATGGGATTATCATCACCATCACCAGTCTATGGGATCATCATCATCATCATCAGTCTACGGGATTATCATCACCATCACCAGTCTATGGGATCATCATCATCATCACCAGTCTATGGGATCATCATCATCCATCACCAGTCTATGGGATTATCATCACCATCACCAGTCTATGGGATTATCATCACCATCACCAGTCTATGGAATCATCATCATCATCAGTCTATGGGATCATCATCATCATCACCAGTCTATGGGATTATCATCACCATCACCAGTCTATGGGATCATCATCATCACCAGTCTATGGGATCATCATCATCACCATCACCAGTCTATGGAATCATCATCATCATCATCAGTCTATGGGTTCATCATCATCATCAGTCCATGGGATCATCTATCTACTTGTACTCCATATATGCAGCCAACTGGTTGATGAACAAACAACAGCTTCCCCCATGCACACATTGGAGATGGATGGGGGAATCCTTCCTGCTGCACTATGGGACTCCTCTGCTGCCAGATAACAGTGAAGATCGATTCCCTCTGTATGGGAATGGCCATAAATGGATGAATATTCGTCTGGTCCCTCCTGAATATCAGTCCATCTATGTCCATCTTCTCCGGTTATCGTCAGCACTGAACATTTGTCCCGAATAGTGAACCCCTGAAGAACATTCGATTTGTCTACATTCTCGGTCACTGGATATTTGTACATGCATGCAGTATTAGCGGACGAACATTTCTGGAAAGTGTCGTCTCCATTGCCCCACCTTGCATGGTCTCTTTCTCGGCCCTCGGCAGCATGGGAGATTTCTCGAGTTCTGCTCTACGGTCCTCTCACTGAGTCGTGCTGGGACTGCCAGATCTCTGGAATCCATCGACTTCTTCTGCAGAATCAAACACAGATTTATCGCCCGGTGATGACATGGAACGGGCAGGTCGACTTTTTCTTCTACAATGGGAATCACCACTTTAAAGGAAAACTGCATTTTATTAGAGAGCGAGCCCTCCACCCCCTCCCCCCTCCAGGGATGTATATAGTCTATATCTTATATCGAATGACTTTCCTGTCACCTTCACGGCGCGGTGATCACCGCACACACACGGACGGGAGGGATCGCGGTCATAGGGAGTAATGGCCAGTATGCCAAGACCCCGCCTCCAGTTTGGCCCATATACCCGGCTCCTGGGGGTACAATGAACACAATGAAGGGAATCTACTAAGACTGAAGCAGCCAAAATCTGGAGCAGCTGTGCCTGGTAGCCAATCAGCTCCTAGCTTTCATTTTCAAAGCATAACTGGACAAGCTGAAGCTGAAGAGCTGATTGGTTACTATGCACAGCTGCTCCAAATTCTGTCTGCTCCGGCCTTCGTAAATTCCCCTCATTGCCGAATATTTAGGGTTCGGTGCACAGCTGGCAGTGTAGAGCCCAGAGCTCCTCAGTCTAAAGAAGTGTAAAAAAGTAGCCAAACCATCAAACAACAAAGATCATAGATAATACCAGAACAATGTAACAATCAGAATCTGCTGTAGCCATGGATACAAGAAAAATACCTGCCCTTCGGACATCTAGAGCAAGGTCTACCAACATTCCCAGTTGGATATGATGGCTTCACTAACCATCCCCACTCAACACATTCCGTCAGAATATGACTTCCTCGGGGGCGGTGTCTGTGCTGCCCTTCCCACTCAACACATGCCATCAGAATATGACTTCCTCGGGGGCGGTGTCTGTGCTGCCCTTCCCACTCCACACATTCCGTCAGAATACGACTTCCTCGGGGGCGGTGTCTGTGCTGCCCTCCCCACTCAACACATGCCATCAGAATATGACTTCCTCGGGAGCGGTGTGTCTGTGCTGCCCTTCCCACTCAACACATGCCATCAGAATATGACTTCCTCGGGGGCGGTGTCTGTGCTGCC